CCTTTCGGGTCTCATTGCCTCAGTGGTATGATTCAATCACCCGTCATTATGTCAACCATATATAAAATGGAGCGTGTGTATTGATTCCTGACCTTCATAAGGGGTCTTTCAACCAATTTCATATCAGATACTGGTAGAGAAGAATGAGAAAACCTTTGGTGGAGGGTATAACCACTGCACATGCTTGGCACGTTTACACTCACCACTAGAATAAAGCGCAGGGCGCTGCAACTCAAAAATGAATTAAAATATCCGACATTTACTGATGTTTGGGTAATAGGGCGCATTCCCATAGATTTTAGATCGATCTATCCCCGTGGGGAGTCTCACTAGATTACTGTCAGATAATCCGGCTTAAATGTCCGTCCCGCCTACTACATGTACAAGATGTAAGGGGGTAATTAACTACCGTGCGCGCTCGGCTGACTGCAATATAGCGTGAACCCCCAGGCAGTTAGGTCGATCTAGTTGGATCGATCTGAATCTCTGGGAATGCCGTTATAGACGACGTGCAATAAGGTCGCGCGACAAGGTTATTTTCAGTTGCACTCTGGATTAAGCACGCTTGCTCCGCAAGGTGTCGCCTGTGGAGGGGGGGCAGCTCAGCCCATGTGGTTACTGTGACGAAGGTGACAAGTACTTCCAAACATTTTTCATAACTGTCATTATTCCTCATCCTATTCACAAATTTGATATTTACGGCAATGGAAAATGTGGCACTGGCAAAAGTGGGTCTTGGTGCGTTGACAGGCCGCACAGGTGTCCCCAATTAACCGCCGCAAGAGAAGAGACCCCAAGCATTAATCAACACGACCTGTAGATATTGGAAATTTGGCAAAAGTTAAGCAACTGAGGCTTTATTAGATTTGGGCAGATATCGAGAGGAATGTCCAGTGACATGCCAAACCCCTAAGTTCAAGTCTTGGCCCTTGACACCAGTAACGCACCCCTTAGTCAAGAATCTGAACAAATCAATGTTGGGCAGGTATGCTCTATTTTCTACAGGCGTTATGTGATTTTATCAACTTGATTGTCAAGTGCCAGACCTTTTGTCCCCAGGTACTAGTAGCAAACTTTATCAGATAACAATCTGACACTAACCAACAGCGCTGTAAACCCAGTTATCAATGCTGTCATCTTTACCTGTATCTTTACCTGTATTATGCCAGTGGTACGTTTGCTACATTTGAGTAAGGAAATATGCTTTGATGCTTATATTTATTTGTAATACGTTAGCATCAACCTGTTAATAAAAACTTGGAAACTTTCAATGTTATTACACAATAACAGTATAATGATAGGAGATGTTATGATTAAATGCTTAGAAGAAATAATAAAAACAGATCGTGTGAAATATAAAATGAATTCATTTTATTTGGGTTATTTATTTATTTATTTATTTATTTATTTATTTATTTATTTATTTCAAACCAATTAATTATCAAACATGAAGCTTATTTTTAGAAACATTAACAGATATTACTGCAATATAACCCTGCTGGTACACAGATCTACCCCTGCTGGTACACAGATCTACAGTTCTAAAATGCAAATACCTTCCACACACCACTGATGAAATGTGAATAATCATATGTATATAGCAGTAAAAATATCACAAAATGTGTGTAGGCAAGATACTTCTACAAGTAACCTCATTAATCAGTCAGGAAACTTCATAATGCATTCAATAAATGTAGAAATTTGAGCAAAAGAAATTCTACATACAGGCATGACAGATTTACCATATATTGCCACCAACTCTTAACTGAATGGGCATAGAAAGAACAAAGTGAGTCTCCCTCCCATTAAAAAGAATAATAAAAAAATTAATTTAAAACAGATACTGCCAGTCTTAATACTGAAAAACAATGGCACCTTGCAGACTTCACTGCCTCACTATTTGCAGACAATGTTCTAGTCACTGTAACTGTGTACTTTTGATGAGGCATAGATGCAAGAATAACTGAAGTATATTGTGAGACGCAAGAATAACTGAAGTATATTGTGAAGGTCTCTTTTGTCATAAATCTGCCACGTATAACCTGAATGTACATATTGCAATTCACACCGCAGCAGCTTGTCTTAGTAAGGACTCAACCAGCTGAAAACTTGAGGCACAGCTTCAGGGACAAGATCACACCATCTACCCTTGCTGTGATGATGGATCTACTAGTACATTATCTATGTTTTGTCCTCCTAGTTTCTCTAATACCATTTCCCCTGATCTATGCTCACATCAATCTCTACAGCTTTACCAACAGCTACACAGTTTTTACATCTGAAAGTATAAAGCCAAAATTGTAATAAAGCACTATCAATTTACTTGTTATATATTGATTTGAGGGCAAGAGAAAAAGGCAGGAACCTCGTATCATAATCAAGATAACTAAAAATCAAATATGCATAATCAACTAGCTTCAATTGTATATACTACTGATGATTTTGTTTTAAACTTCAGCATAAATTTTGACTTTCTCTTGTTAAAGCATAGCCACTTTATCAAAATGTGCTTGAACAAATAATAATAATAAACAACCTGCACACATGATGGAACATGGAGGTCAATTGCCACAAAATAAGTTGATTTGTACTTGGTAGCCTGAGAAAAAGTATCAGGTATTAATTTGTGCAGTAATTATACCACAGAGTTAACAACGACACAATTAAGCATATGGTGTAATGTAACAAAATTCATGCATTACTTGCTGTGGCAGTGTCCTCCTAAACCTATCGTGCACCGCAGGTTTTGATTTTCAATGTCATCAAAAATTTTTATTGCTGTTAGTTTGATCTATGTATCTGCTATTCAAATAATATCATTTGGAAAATAACTAACTGATTTAATTATGCTTTTGCAACATGAAATTATCATTAACTTTGCCGGTTCACGTGTACACAGTACCTTGCTATCAGTGCTGCTCTTTTCTCCCCAACTCGCCACTGACAGGCTAACCACATCGTTTCAAAACACCGTTGGTATGCTCCTTTATTTTTGGTGTTGGCAGTTTCGCCCCGGGGACATCGTTTTCGGTTAAAAACAACGTATCGTTTTCACCCATCTTTGCATTGCTCCTGTACAAAATGTCCGCTTGCTGCCCCCCAAGGGAAAAATCGTAGCACGTGGGTAGTTACGCAAGACCTGTGACGTATAACGCGCGCGACCTTATTCTTCCTTTATGCAAGGTTAGGGAGACAACAGGGATTTATGGTTACAAACTGAAATAACCTTGAAACTTATCTGAAAACTTAGAGCAAAGATGTATTCAGCCTGCACGTATGTGATATCTTCAAGATTATAAATCCATTACTCAATAAAAACGCCGTTAAAATGAAAAGTATAATGGTAATATAATTAAAACGCCACACAGGTTACACAAAGTGACAAAGAATCTAATTCGTGGCAATAACTGATATCTATGAATCAAGTCACAGAAGTACAACGAGTTATTTCAATGACAGTATCCTCTCTCAGCAGCTACTGTGCTGGTAGGTACACATGTATGCTAGTACCTGTTATACAACGAGTTATTTCAATGACAGTATCCTCTCTCAGTAGCTACTGTGCTGGTAGGTACACATGTATGCTA